CAATCTAGATATTAGCAAGAATTGTTGTTTTAGCATTGCATACAATTGGTCATATTTAGTTTAGTTTGTTAGGTATAGTGTTAAAAATGGAATATTGGTTTTACACGCGTTGCTTAATGCCACAAATGCAACTTGTGTACGTATTCATAAAAAAGAAAGTCAGAAAATCACGCATTCAGACCTTACTGATAAAACAGCCTAGCCATCTTGCGTTCCCCTTGTTCTGCTGCTGCTAGGCAACCATGAAAACAGTCGTAAAGCGGAACGTCGTAAATCCGTCTCCTTGGGCTCTTGATTTTACGCCGTACGATTTCTGACGCTCATTAAATTATTCCCCATTATGCGGTACATTCATTACAAAGGATATAATATGAAATACATATATATATATATATATGCAGATATATTTGAATGGAATGACATTGTCGAAACATAAAGTTTTAAACCAGTACTTTGTAACTCATTACTTTTATTCTACCAAGTATTTTGACCCGGAAGCAGTTTTTGGTCCTTGCTAATTCAATGCTTTAGATCGAACTTGATGCTTCAGCCAAAATAAACACAGACATTCTCTTTTATTTCGTTTTAACCAGAAATGACAAGGTGAGTTGTCCATGTGATTATATATTACCGATCACTGGCGGATTGAGAGTGTTTGTTTAAATGACTGAAGTCAGTGCATGCTGCTGAAGTTAGATTTAATGTTTAATCAGATCAGTGTCCTGTTAATTGAACCCAGTTTCTTCTAAATATCACTACATTCCTTATTTATTAGTGATGGATGTTGCATTGATGTTTTTATAACTGTAATGACGGAATTATTCGATTAATCTCAATGAAAAGCAAATGCTAACTGATAAGTTAGCTGGATGGGCTGGTCCTGATTTATGAGCTCCGCACAGATTATTGTATTATTCTGATCATTCGACTGATTTATTCGTGTTTTTAGGTTTGCAACATAGCGGCAAAAGGTCGCAGTGGTTATAAATGTCATAGATCATTTCAGGGGATTTTAAAATGG